GTATCTGGTGGACTGGCTTTGAGGTGCTTGGCTGTCTCATCTTCCATCGTCTTCTGTAGGGAGAGTGTCTCTGTTCCCCTCACCCCCAGGGTGCCCATGCAGAAGGAACAAATTCAGGTGCCTCAGAGAAGCTGGGCTTGCCAGGGAAAATCAGTGCAGGTGCCCAAATGGAAGTTGGCAGGCAGCAGGCCAGAAGTGCGTGCCCCCACACCCCTTGCTGCCTGTGTGCAGTTACTGAGCTCCGGGCTGCAGTCTGAGGGTGTGTGGACCCCAGTTGGTGAATTCCACCAGCTTCCCTAGCTGGGCAGGCCTATGCGGCTCCCAGTTCAAAGTGGACAACCCACATCCACACCGAACTTGTGAGCGAGTGTGCATGGCCAAGAAGTGGGGGCAACCCTGATGTCTGCCACCGGACGAACAGGAAAAAGATGCTCCCTTAAGTGCATGAACCTGTGTGGAAAAATACAGGAGGCTCCCGGTATGAGCCACTGACTGGAAGTGCCTCTGCAGACCGGGGGCATGGGGCGGTTTGCAGGCAGTGAGGAGGTGCTGTGCTCGGCAGCGGTGGTAGTGGCCATGCTCTGTGGTCCATGGTGGCGGCTGCACAGCTCTGGACCAACTAACAGTCCCTGAGCCATTCACTGCAGAGGCGTGTCACATGTGTTACAGCCTCACCCCAACGAGGACAGGTCGGTGGGTGCTCAGTGCTGTGCTCAGGCCACTAGCCGCTGCCTTTCGCCATGCTGCTCACCACCCGGTGGCACCACGAGCAGTGGGTCGGTCCCGGATTCGTGGAGAGACACAGAAGCCAAGCTCCCATGTCTTCACCCTGCAGTGTACTCACCACTTTGTCGCCTTTAGCTTCTCTAAACTTGGTGAGATGTGGGCCTCACCCACACGCCCTGGTAAATGCCCACTGAAGAGCCCAGTGAAACGCTGGTCTGTGCTCTGCCAGGTTGTCCCAGGGGCCTGGGAGTGACATGCCTTCCCAGCTGCTCCGGGGGACTGCACGGCTGGGAGCTAATGCATACTCCCAGACAGTCTCTGCTGTTTCCCTGCAAGGCCCCTGCAGTGGGGTGACAGTGTCTCCCCAAATCCACATTCACTCAGAACCTGAGAATATTTGGCATTATTTGAATTATGTGGGAAAAGGGTCATTGAAAATGGAATCAGAATTGGGGATCTCAAGAGATCATCCTGGATACAGGGGTGGGCCTAAATCCAGAGATGGGGGCTCACAAGGGAAGAGGCACAGGAATTGTGGGACCACGGAGGCGGACTGGTGGGAGCCGACCCTTGGAGCCCTCTCCGAACCAGCCCCGTGCATCTTGTGCTCAGGCTCAGGCCTCGGGGACTGGGCGGGATGGGGCATGACTCCTGCTCTTTTCAGTCGTTTGTCAGGGTTTGGGCTGCCACCCAGGACATGCTGCCTCCCGTACAGTCTCTGCTGTTTCCCTGCAAGGCCCCTGCAGTGGGGTGACAGTGTCTCCCCAAATCCACATTCACTCAGAACCTGAGAATATTTGGCATTATTTGAATTATGTGGGAAAAGGGTCATTGAAAATGGAATCAGAATTGGGGATCTCAAGAGATCATCCTGGATACAGGGGTGGGCCTAAATCCAGAGATGGGGGCTCACAAGGGAAGAGGCACAGGAATTGTGGGACCACGGAGGCGGACTGGTGGAGCCGACCCTTGGAGCCCTCTCCGAACCAGCCCCGTGCATCTTGTGCTCAGGCTCAGGCCTCGGGGACTGGGCGGGATGGGGCATGACTCCTGCTCTTTTCAGTCGTTTGTCAGGGTTTGGGCTGCCACCCAGGACATGCTGCCTCCCGTCTGTGTCTGTGCCCACCCTGCCTGCCCGCAGCACTCCCAAGCCAGGGCCACCTCCCCACATGTGCGGGACAGGCTGCCTGCCTTGGCCCCCAGGGCTTCCCAATGCACCTGGAGGGCAGAGCCCAGCCCCTCACCAGCGTGGGGTCCTGCCTAACACTCGTCTGCCAAGTCCAACCCCTCCTCTGCCTCCCTCCATCACTCAGGCACCCCCGCCTGGTGGGCTGTGCGCCTGCGCCTGCTTTGAGCCCCCCAGAGCCCCTCTGTGCTGGCACCCTGTGGGCCCCTGCCTGAGGTCGCCTGAGAAGTCCCTTGCCTTACCTTCTCTGGAGAGCCCTGATGGAGGACCTGCTTTATTCCCCCTGCTTGTCATCCACTGTCTGGTATCCCAGTCTGCTCGCTCCAGTCTCCCCCAAGGCTAAGGTGTCTCCCAGTGGCCTGGTGGCATCAGAAAGACCCTCCACCTTTGAGGGGAGGTTGACCCACCCACAGCAAGGTGGCAGAGGTCCCAGGGGACTGTTCACCACCTAGGCTTCTGATGACCCTCAGCCCCTACCCTGTCCATCCCTTTGGAGTCAGGGGTCTCCTGTGGTGGATCCTGGGCTACTCTCTCCCCACTCCACACATGTGCCCCTGGTTGGCTATTGTCACTCTGGGTGCTGCCAGCCGAGGTCTCTGACTCCTGTCAGCCAACTGCCTCCTCCCTGTGCATCCCTGGAGGTGAGCCACAGGCCGGCAAACCTGTGTCCCAACCGCAGCAAGACACCCTGGCCCGCGATCCCTGACTCTATGGTGGGTGTTGCCATTGACCCTGAAGCCCAAGCCAGAAACCTGGGTGTTACTATTTTTGTAGAACAACTTAATGTTTTTTTTTAATCCCCAAAGTGCTCATTCTAAACAGGTTTGTTACAAACAATGAGAAAAGGAAACAGATTTCTACATCCTGATTCTATTAAAGTCAACAAACATTTCCTCTAAATGTGCAGCTCCCTAGTTTCAGCTTCCAGCTGCAGGGTAACTCTCCCACCAGTTCCATGACGTTTGGAAGATCCTGTGCAGCCCCATCAGGGACAGCCCTGTGCCTGGAGCCCTAGAGGCAGGCTTGGCGCCAGGCAAGCGCCCTCTGGGCATTGTCCCACCTGTGTGGTTGAGGCTGCGCTGAAGCAGAACCCAGCTTCCACCTTCCTGCCCGCTTAGCGCAGCTCAGGTGGTTAGGTGCACTCACCCTGCGTGCTGATGCTCAGTTGGGCATCGCTGGGTCACAGCTCCAGAAGGCAGGTTTTGTGTTGTTTCTTTATTCTTTTTTGATAAACTTTAAAATTTAGAACACTCTTGTATTAACCTAGCTATGAGGATAGCATAGAAGTTCCCATAAACCTCATGCTTGTTTTTCTGTTACTAACTTTGGATACTAGTGTGGCACTTCCATCCCTACTAATGAACCAGTGCCGACACGGGGACTGCTCACCAGAGTCCACCCCGGACGCGGTTCCTGAGCTTCCCCCATGTCCCTTTTCGGGCCCAGGATCCTGCCCAGGGACACATGCCATCAGCTGCCCAATCTCCTTATGTTGACTTTGGCCCAGTTTCTCAGACCTTCATGTCTTCCGGGACCTGGACGGTGTTGAGGAGCCCTGGTCACGTGCTCTGGAGACCGGCCCTCAGACCGGGTGGGGGTTACAGAGAGTCCATCTGTCAGCATGACTCCTGGCTGTGGGGTTGATCTCAACCCCTGGCCGTGTCCGCCGGCTTTGTTCTCTGGTAAGTCACCGTGTTCATCTCTCCTCGCCGTCCTCGGCAGAAGGGGCTGCAGTGCGCAGCCGCACTGAGGAGGGGCAGGCGCTCCACTTGCTGGTGGGCGGCAGGCTTACCTGAAGCTCTCCAGGGGCATGCTTCTCTTGGCATTTACTTACTTAAATCATTTATTTATATTAGCATGGACTTGGGGGTTACTTATTTTATACTTGGGGTGAAAACCCAGTACATTGCTAACCTTGTGGCTGTGTCCCAGCTCGCCCTGGGGGAGCTGCCAGCCGGCTCCCAGGTGGGCCCCATCCACGCAGCACTCTGCTCTTTGGTCTTGGTGCTCGTTCTTACTTGCTGGTGCTGTGGCACCCTCCAAGGAGCCTCGCTCCTTCTGCTGGAGGGGGTAACTAGAAGCCAAGATTGAGTACCACACTGCTGGCTGAGGCCAGGATCTCCCACGTGGGCTGGAGGAAATGGTGGACCGGCCCTTGTACACACGTGCATGTTTCCATATGCAGCCACCTGTAGCCATGTGTTCAACTGAATGTGGGTTCACACTGGTGTCTCCACCTCTGATTCATTGTCACACAGATCACTCTGGGCCCTCCCCTTGCTGATCTGATGTCACTGTTGTCTCCTCTCCATCTCCCTCTCTTGCTCTCTCATCAATCACTGAGCCTGGAAGTCAGCCCCCAAGCCCGCTGGGACTTGCCGTGCTGTGTCCCTCTACCCAGGCCCACGTCCCTTGTGGATGCTAATTAACTACCTTGTAATCTGGGCAACTTCCTGCAGGAAGAGCTAGCTGGGGCCTGTCCCTCTGCTCTGTTGGTGATGGAAAGATGGTGCTGGCCACCCCTTCCAGCTCAGAAGCCAGTGCCTGGGATGCAGCATCCACAGTGTGCCATGCTAGGGCACAGGGTCCTTGACACTGATGGGAAGGGTGTGCACATGGGCTGCACAAGCATCGCTTAGAATGGCAGCCATGACAAACTACGATGGGCTGGCGGGCCCTGGGATTTGGTGTTTGAATGGAACAGTCTGGGATCAGCCTCTCCTGTGAGCTGAGAGCTTCCAGGGCTGTGGGCATCTTGAAGAGAAGGTGCTTGGGGCAGTGAAGCAGGCCCAGCGTATGACACAATAGCTGCTGACATGGGGAGAGGCTGCCAAGGCTGCAGAAGACAGAGGCAACCCGTATGCTCAGTCCACGGACACCCAAGGGGGCTCCAGGTGGCTGCACTCGGCTTTTCTCTGGGCTGGGAGCACATGAGCTCTGATTGCAGCAGGGCCTGCAGGAGCCAGGGCTCCTGAGGGGGAATGTCAGGCCCTGTGCGGCATCACTGGGATGCCACATGAGTCCCATGACAGATGGTAAATGGTGAATAGAGCTCATATGCCAACAAGGAATAAACTGCCCATGCCTGTGGCTAGAAAAGGTGTTTTCCTCCCATTTTATTTGATAATACATTTTCACAGAAACATGATATTATTTACAAATATACAGGTAAGAGACTGCTGGTCAAAAATCTTAAACTGAAAATGTCACCAAAAATTAATTTACAAAAACCACCATAGTCCAGGAGTCTGGGGCCTGGTCGGTGCTCTGTGAAGGTCTGTACAGGTGGGGGCTGCCACCCACCGGCGTCTCAGGAGGCGCTGGTCTGCATGCTTTTGGAAGCTGCGAGCATTGCTCTTACTTTGGCCATGAGGTCCTGTGGAAGGAGAGACTTGGGTTTCCATGGCTTCCATTCATGCAGTCAAATACCCAGGGGACTATTAGTGGGCAAGGGTGAAGGAAGAGGGAGAACGTGCTGCGTGGCTGTGAACACACCAGGCCAGATCCACCCAGCCTCCCACTGCCAGGGCCTGTGGCAGCCCACAGCCGGGAGTGTGGGTGGGTTTCAGAAGGTGGGGGCCAGGTTCCGGGCCACACAGTTGCCCCAGACCAGCTGCCCACCACCAGCTGTCCAGGGAAGCAGCCCAGAACCCCTCAATATTGATGAGATGAGAAAACAGGATACAAGAGCTAGCCTCTACAAGATGGGAAAGACACGTAACACACATTTCCATTTTACCTGAGTTATTTTGCTCTGCACAGAGGAAACAATTGCTGAAGAGATCTGACCATCTTTTTCCTGAGATACTCCCCTAATGCAAATAGAGAGATCAGAGGCTTAAAAAACCTTGTTTCCGTATCTTTAAAAAAGAAATCACCATAAATACATTTTACATTTATATTTTATGTTACACATTTGAAATACTTTGTGTATTTAAAATATTTGTGCAATGTGTAATTAAAAATATATTTTTATGTAAACATTATGTAAGACACACTTAAGACAGATGAAGAAAAGGACAGAAGTTTCCTAAAGCTGGAGCTGCCCCTCCCAGAATCATGACCACAACTGTGTGAGGTGCTTGTGGCAGCCCCACCGGCTCCATCTCTGAGGTAGGGTGTGCTGCAGCCCGAGCACAGCCCCACCTCCGCAGGAGCCCCCAGCTCTGTCAGGGGCCCATGCTCCTTCGCACTTGCTGTCTCTGCTCATCACAGCCTAAAGGACGTGTGGAGCAGGGGCCCTGGGGTCTACCCGCCTGCAACCTCTTGGGCCCTCCCCATGAGAAGCGCTGTGGCCCAGGGGTCAGGCACGGTCAGGGCGGGGTTACCTGGAGCGCTCCTGGCTGGAGCCCCGACTCTCCACGGGAGAGATGCTGGCCGAGTGGGCCGAGTGCCGGCGTGGGGCCTGCTTGCTCGGGGATGCAGACTGAGAGCCAGCCTTGGATTTGGTCCGTGACCTTGAGCGCCTCCTCTTCTTCTTCTCATGGGGACTTCTGGAAGGAAAGTGGTGTTAGGGCACAGTGCTGGCTCTGATGGCTCAGGGTTGTTTCCGAGGGAAGACCCATAAGCCACCTTGCTGTGCATGGTAGCTCAAAGTTCTAACATTTTAAATCACAACTGATGGCTGCAGCAAAACACAAGTCCCACAGAAGTAAAACAAATACCACCTTCTCCTCAGGAGGAGGGTGGTCTGTCCCCATTTCAGAGGGCCATGGGGTTTAAAGCGTGGTCAGCACTTCATGGCATTAGAACACCTGAAGAAAAGGCAGCCAAGTGCTGTTCCCACTGCTTGTTCACTTACGCTGACTTAATGAGAACTTCCAAGTAATAAAGATTAAAACCAAGTATGCAAAGCAGAAGCTCAGCCCTTCCATCCCACGGTTCACAGGTGTGTCGTCCCCATGGGCCACCTGGCCATGACGCTCTCCCAGCAGCCCCCACGCCCATCTCGCTGAGGCCCGGCTCAGCACCGCTTGCTGCCTGCTCCCCCACGCTGCCAAGGCAGGCCAAACCCACACCACAAACATCCCTGCTCCTTCTCCCCCTGCAGATCGGAGCTGTGCTGGCCTCAGCCCACCCCTCTCCTGCCCCACACCCAGGACCCCAGCCTCCTGCAGGCCTACTGCTGTTCTATCCCAGGTCTGGGACCCTCTATCCCCACCCCTAAAAACATGAAATGAGGATGACACACAGGTGGTAAGGGCCCTGAGTAGGTCAGTCAGGCACTGAGCTGCTTCCCTGGCTCTTAGAAATCCCACCCACCACACCCAAGGCTGCCTGCCCTGTGCGCTGCCACTCTAGACTTGGGTTCTGTGCATGGGCTGTCATCGTTGACAACCAGCCCCCATTCCTCCCTTCTGCTGCTCTCACTCCTGGCTGCAGCCAACTGCAACGCTTGGCAGGATGCCTCCCTGGTCTTCAGTGTCAGCTGCAGGGTGAACTGTATTTCAGGAGATGCTGCCATGCTGCCCCACTCATCCGTCCACACCTGTGCTGACAAAGCCGCCCGGTGTGCTCACCTGAAGGGTGAGTGACAGGATCTCTTTATGGTCAGAACATGGAATTCTTTTACTATTCGAAGTACACTGCCTGGGGCCTCCCGGTCTCCTCAGGATTCACTGTGGAGATACCCCAAGGCCTATCACTTGCCCACTGACCCCAGACCAGGTAATGGTCATCCTGGGTTTGGAGCCCAGCCCTGCCACTTACCAGGGCATTTCCTCAGTGCCCTCCTAGCGTCTGTAGGCTTCATGCAGCATGCTGTGCTCCCCACCCTGCTCCAGATCCCGTCAGCACCCACCCCCAGGGGCACAGCTTTGGGAACCGGGGCCTGAGTCCATACTCTCTGACCACCTGTCTGGTATAGCCACCCTCTGACAGGGGTGGCCCTGACTAGCTGATGGGGGCTCGACATTTCAGCCTGGGTCCCTGAGAATGTTCTGGAGCAGAGGCAGACTCTTGGCACCAACAGAGCAGCTGATGCTCCAGCACAGCGAGGCTTTCCAGCTCTGCCTCATCAGCAAAAAGGAAGTGGCCTGTGGTGGTGGAAGCATCACAACTTGAATGTAGTTGGGGGAAGTGCATCCCTGGTGAGCTAGGCTGTGGGCAGGGGGCCTGATGTGGGGCAAGCATGAAGACAAGTGGGCCGTCAACAGAGAAGCTGTCGCTAGTACTGGGTACAGATGTGAAAACTGAAAACAGGCCTATTTTCCAAATTGCAAAAGCTTTGCAGTTTTTATGTCTGTGAATATGCTAGGATTTCAAAGGAAGCCACGAATAAAAAATATTTAGTATCATGCGACGTCAGTCAAAATGACACAGGCCCCAAGCTGGCCAAGCATCTGTGGCTATCTACATGAATTCATTACAGGCAGGCTGTGATCCTAAATCAGATTTAACTTTACTACAACCTGATCTCATGTGACAAAGTTTCTCGGCACATGCTTGAAGAATTAAGTAATTCACTCATTTTTAAAATATGTGAGATGCTCAAGGGATTGGGGAGGATGGGTGGGAAGGGAGGGATAAGCGGGAAAAAGGGGCATTACGATTAGCACATATAATGTGTGTGGGGACATACGGAAGGCAGTACAACACAGAGAAGACAAGTAGTGACTATAGCATCTTACTACACTGATGGACAGTGACTGTACTGGAGTATGTGGTGGGGACTTGAGAATGGGGGAGTCTAGTAACCATAATGTTGTTCATGTAATTGTACATTAACGATAGCAAAAAAAAAAAAAATTGAGATGCTCTTCACATCCAGTGAAACACAGGTTGTGATGTTGTCGGGTTGGTTTCGGCAAGTGCAGACCCCATCCTGATTAGGAACCATTCCCTCACTGCTTTCAGCTACCTGTACCCCTTCCCCATCCTCACAGGTAAGCACTGTCTTAACTCTTGTCACATAAACTGAAACTTCGGAGAAGTGGGATCACAGCTTTATTATTCTTTGGTGTCTGGCTTCTTCCACTCGGCAAAATTTTCTGAGATTCTCTCGTGATGCCGGCTGTGTCGCCGATCTGTTCTGCTGTTGAGAAGTACCACACTGCGTGAGTCCACCACCAAAGGCTTATGCCTTCTCCTGGTAAAGGACATCTGGATTTCCAGTGTTTGGCAATGACAGGACAGGCTGCTTAGTATAGCAAGGAGAAGCCTGGGACCACACATCTGGGTTGTGGAGCAGCACACGTGGGACTTCACAAGAGACGGCCAGACTACTTCCCAAGTGGTGGTGCCACTTAGGAGCCCCACCAGCCGCTGCCATGTCCATCTTGTCTGTCTGTAGCCCTGACAGGTGAGTAAGGCGCTGCCACCTTTACAGGTGCTACTTCGATTGGCTAGTTATATATTCTTTTACAAAAGGCCTTGCAAGTCATCTGCTCCCTTTGAATTGGGGTGTCTTTCCTGGAATTGACACCAGCCTTAGAGATGCTGACTGCAAATATTCCTCCCAGTCTGAGGCCTGCCTGTTTTCTTTCTCAGCTGCCTTTTCAGTGAAGTTTTTAATTTCAATGAATTCAAATCTATTATTTTATCTTATGGTGGGTTTTTCTACATCTTGAGCAATCTTTGACACCCTTAGGGTCATGAATATATTCTCCTTCTTTTCCTAAAAAAGCTGATTGGTTCTAGTGTTCCCACTGAGATCTATGGTCCATCCTGACCTAAACTTTGTGTGCGGGGTAGAGGCCACTTTTTCCTATTCTGACAGCCAGCTATGTACAGCGCTCACAGCCTTGATCAGTCAGCTTTCCAATGGGTTCTTGCTATACTAAGCAGCCAGTCCTGTCATTGCCAAACATTGGAAATTCTCATTACATCCCCCTTTCCAGTAAAGATGTACCAATTCTGCTCTTTTTCAGCACAAAGGACACAGTTTGAATTTGCCAATTTCTAGGAAAGCCTGTGGGGATTCCGACTGAGTCTGCACTAAAGCTATAGATCAAGTTGGTGAAGAAGAGACATATGAGTAACACCAAGCCTTTCAACCTATAAACGGACTCTCTGTGCTGTTCTGTGGTTTTCCAGCTTACAGGTCTTGCATTTCCTTACACTCACCCATATGTAGTTTGTTTTTTGATACTGTTATGAATGCTGTTGTTTTAACTTCTTTTTAATTTTCTAGGCTAGTATATGGAAATCAACGAGATTCCTTAAGACTTTATACAATTATGTAAAAAGACAAATTTTGCATTTTCCTTTCCAGTCTTCATGCCTTGTATTTCTCACCATACTGTCTTGGCTCTGAATTCTGCTACAGAGCTACGCCCTCCCCTGGTTTCCAGTCTCAGGGAGAGCATGCACTCTGTCCATCAAGTGTGGGGTCAGCTGGAGGTTTTTCAAGATGCCCTTTGTCAGATGAGGTTTCCTTCTATTCCCAGTTTGCTGAGAGTAAACCATCCCCTTTTATTTTATTTTATTATTTATTTATTTGTTTGTTTACTTTCATGTCATTAATGTACAATTACATGAGCAACATTATGGTTACTAGACTCTTCCCATTATCAAGTCCCCCTCACATACCCCATTACAGTCACTGTCCATCAGCATAGTAAGATGCTACAGAATCACTACTTGTCTTCTCTGTGCTGTACTACCTTCCCTGTGCCCCCTCCTACATTATGTGTGCTAATCATAATGCCCCCTTTCCCCCCTTATCCCTCCCTTCCCACCCATCCTCCCCAGTCCCTTTCCCTTTGGTAACTGTTAGTCCATTCTTGGGTTCTGTGAGTCTGCTGCTGTTTTGTTCCTTCAGTTTTTTCTTTGTTCTTATACTCCACAGATGAGTGAAATCATTTGGTATTTGTCTTTCTCCACCTGGCTTATTTCACTAAGCGTAAGGCCCTCTGGCTCCATTCATGTTGTTGCAAATGGTAGGATTC